CTTTAATCTGTTGAGAAGTTTCTGTTCTACTTCTAGTCTCCTGATAGCTTTTACCATGAACAGCTGTGGAATTTAGTCCAATACTTTTTCTCCAACTAGTGACAGGATCACATGGCTTTTTCCTTTCCTCTGTTAGAACGATAACTTTTCTGGGTGGATCTTCCAATGCTGAACCAGCACTGCCATCTCTATAACAAAACCACTTTCTACATCCTGCCAGATCTGACTTCTAGTAGTTTGTTTTGTTAAACAAATTTCTATCTATGTTCATACTTTTTTCTTCTATTTTCTTCATCCAGTTTTAGTATTAGCACAATGTTGATTTCCTAAACTGAGGGGAGAAGTGTTCCTTCTTTTTTCTGCTTTAATGGTTTGATATAATTTATCAGTTAAAATGTATATGAGCCTGCTGTTGTCATTTAGGTAGCTTTTCAAGCTAGGAATATACTTTCTTTAATAGGTGCTATTCAAATTTTATGTTTCCTCCAGAGTTAGTTTCATTAATTTGTCTTCCAAGGTCCTTCTTAGAAGTTGTCAAATTTATTCCAAAACAGATTTTTGAAATATGCTTTATCCTTTTAAATTCTGTAAAATCCGTGGTAATGTCTCCCAGATCTTGATATTGTGGGGGTTTTTGTTTTTTGGGGTTTTTCTTTTTTTGGTACCAGGAATTGAACTCGGGACCTTCGACTTGCAAGGCAGGCACCAGAACCACTGAGCTAAATCCCCAGCCCTAGTTCTTGATATTATAATTTAAAAAATGTGTAATTGATATTGTGTAATAGGAAGTAAAGGTCTAAAGGAGCAGGGCAAGTGGGAGGGGTAGGGGAAAGGAAAAAAAAGCAAAAGAAAAAATATGAGAAAAGGAAAAAAATGGAAACAAAGTCTTTGCAAATTGGGAAGGGTGGAGGGGGTGAAGGGAGGGCAAGGGAAGGGGAAAAAAATAAGAACCAAGATACTCATGTAAAGGTACAAGATCCCAATGATGAATGTAACTGTATTTTATACCTAGAATGTACCTATAAACTTAATGGGAAAAAAAAAAGAAAGTTCAAGTCAGTGACAGATGAATTTAGGCAATATATTAAGCCATCCTGCAGTGCTGTGAATATGGGTGGGGTCCTGGAACACCATGGATGTCATCAATAGGTCATAGAACCCTGCTGAGGCCTTTGTGATAACTGGTATCATACCAACCAGGGTATCATACTGAGCCTTACGAAGGACAGTGATCTGGTGAACAGATAGCATCTTATTTGCTTTTTTTTGGTGTATACATTTAATTTCTTATCATTACTAATAATTCTCTGAGAACAGTCTCAGACTCTTACTTGATATCACAATTCTGCAAAGAGTTGAGCAATGAAACATAAAAAGAAGGAAAAACACCAGGAGAAGAAACTCTTCAAAAGACCTGTGAAGAAGTCAAGGGGTACAAGAAGAAAGTTGGATTTACAAGATGTTCTGCAGGGTAGAGCCAAGGTACTGGCCCAAACTCAAGGCCGCAAAGTGGTGGACAGTTCTTCCTCAACCTCAGTGCACTTCTCCTATGAAGACAAATTCTTGGATGCAGAACTGCACAACTCTCCAGAGGATGCCGCTGAGACACATGAGATGGTCCCAAGTTCAAATCTGGATGCAGCAGAGAATTTCTCAGTCTCAGAACATTTTCCCTGCATCCCTTCTTCAAGCAAGTGCATTCCTGTGGACCAGGATGGTCCTGGATCTGCCCAGAGGCTTTTAAATCAAGATTTGACGGAGAGCAAGAATTTCTCCTTCATGGAACATTCCCATTTGCCTTCCTCCTTGGCCAGTAACCCTTCAAAGTCTGCAACATCTACTGAAAAGAAAAGAGTCCTGAAGGTTTACCATAAGCCTGTCCCAATGAAAAGGGGTATGGCTTCCTTGGGGGATACAGAAGAAGATTTGGAGCCCCTCACAAAGATGACAAGAAGAGCAAAAATTACCTTTCCTGAGAAGATCCCTTCAAAAGCCAGCCTCTCTCATATGTGCCTAAGAGACGTCCTAACTGACAGTGAAAATGGCTTGCACGGGGAAGGCCAAGAGGAAAGGGAAGAGGCTGAGAAGCCACCTGAGCATCTGGCCCAGGGTTCGGTGCTGGAGGATCCGTATAGTGGCTTTAGGTGCATGGTCTGCTGCCAAGTCTTCCCCAATATGCGGCTGTTTAAGAAACACCGGGAGGATGGGGTTGAGGGTGGTGCTTCATGCCTTAGTCTTGCATTTGCCAAACCAAGGAACACAATGAAGCAAAGCAAGAGAATCACAGAGGAGGAGGATAGGAATATGACAACATCTGGAGGTGATACGGAGATATGCTTCAGGTTCTTGTTACTTTTGGCTTTTTGTGCCTTTTTGTTTTAGTATTATAATAAATAGAAATTAAATCATAAAAAAATAAATGCACTACACAAATATATAAAGATTACTGGATACTGTGCTGTGAAAATGAAATGCTTTTTTCTTTTTTTGAGACAGGATCTCAGTATATGGTACAGGTTGGCCTCAAACTTGTGGCTATCCTCCTGCCTCAGCCTCCTGAATGTTGAGATTACAAGTGTCCATTACAATACTTGTCTAAATTTTGTAAAAAAGAAGACTTTAGTTCACTTTTTCTCCACCTTTTATTATCTTCTTAACCTGGCCATCTTTAAATATCAGTTTCCTCATATATAAACATTGCCTACTTTTTAATAATAGTTTAGCATGGATGTTATACAAATTACATGGTATGATGAAAGAAATACAAATAGGTAATCTATGTATAACATCTGTGAGATATTTAATAAATGTTACTTTTCTAAAAATGACAAATATAGTGGTGGAAAACAAGTGATGAAAAAAGTTTGAATTTAATGGCTCGACTGAGCTCTTTAAATGAGCGATAACAGTATCAGTGCACTCATTTCTCCAGTAAATACTTTGGGGCAGCTCTCTGTCATCTGATTTTTAGTCCCTGAAGGTAATGAAACTCGATTTTATGGGAAAAATATGGAAAGAAAGATAATAGAGTTGTCCCTAGGGTGAAGGAGGAAGATAATGCACTTTAATTAGCCAAGTCCTACATTAAAATGTAAGGACCTAAACATAGTGAGAAGTTGCATAACATGGGTATCTTAATCTAAATCTGAATATCGGGTTCTATGGTTGAAGGCAGGAGAGAGTGCGCTGGGAGGAGCAAAGCTCATAACTAGATTTAGGCTCTTCGTAAGCTCTTGAACTATACTGATACTGGACTGGATTGGGCACAGGCTGACACACAGAGTTCACCTCAGTGGTCTATTTGGGAGTTGATGGTGGCTTAGGCTGGGATAATAATAGTGCAGATGGATCAAAAGGGACTGAGTTCTGGAGTGAATTCTACTATAAGTCAACAGTTTCCTGAAAGGTTATGTAGGAAAAGTCAGTGGTTACTCAAAGCTGAAGATCTGAAAGATTGAAATTGCCTTTAAATGGAATGAAAAAAAAAAAAAAAAAAGGTAGAAGCAGGATTCTTTGTTGTTTCATTGAGGGGAACTTTTTTGGGAGGGGAGGGTGTTTAATGTAGAGGTTGAATGGAAGCCAACTTTTTAAAAGGCATTGCTCCATTGAGATATCTCTAAAGTTGGACAAAAGTCATTCATTTAGGGCAAAAATATAGCATGTAAATTTATTTTCTAAACTATGAGCATTGCTACGTAACCTAATAGTAATTATACAGTGTATGTCTAAGACAGGAGAAAAACATTCCAGAATTGAATAGTAGAACAGTCTAATATATTGTATAAGGACAAAGTTAAATAATAAGTAAAGAACTGTGGGAGGGAGTTTCCAAGGGCAGCATGGAAATCAGGGTCTGTGGATAATGGACGCTCAGGATGGATGTGTTTGTGTGAGTATTGAGTAATGAAATGTACCACATCTTATTCAGAGGCCAACTGAAGAACTGAGAATTTACTATTTGGCCTTTTGAAATGTGAAAATCATCTGTAAACTCGACAATATATTTAGTACGATTGAGTATAATCAAGATAGTGTGATAGAAGAAAAATTAGAGATAAGGAACAGAGGTATATACTCACGTGTTACATATATGTTTGAGGAACTTGGTTGTAAAGTAAAAAAAATGAAACATATTAGGTATTATAATTATTAGGTATTATATATATTAGTATGAAGATTAATTTATAAACATTTTAATTACTAAATGATATGAACATAGCTATGGATTATTTGATACTGAATGAATTGTACATGCTTCAGTAAATTATATGAAGAATTATTATGTTTTCTTAATAATACTAATATTTAAAAGCTACGAATATAACCCCAATTCTTGCACCAAACTCAGAATTTCACAATCTTAGTATACTTAAAAATCTTTACAAGTACAAAGGGAGAAATACTGATGAAGAGTAGGTTACTGTTGTAAGTAGATTTTCTAGAATCTAAGTAAAAATAATACTCCATTGATTCACAATAATTTTACCTACTTTAAATTTGTATTAAAGGATTGCTAGGTTTCTTATGGGATTCTTTAAAATGACCTGAAGAAAATCAGTTGGTGGACTCTGCCCTTTGATATTATAATTCACTTTACTCTTTAGCACACAAAGATGTCTTAGGAGCCAGGAATTTAGCTCAACAGCACCACCTGCCTGGCAGGCATAAGGTCCTGAGTTCGATCCCCGTTACCAAAAAAACCCACAAAAAAACCCAAAAAACAAAAATGACTTCTTAGACAGCAGTTTCATATTTTAGAGGACAGTCAAATTTGTATATATAAATAATATTTGTTCATCAGATACATTTCTTGGCTATCAGTTTTTCTATAATTAAAAAATTTTGAAGTGTGTATAGTTTATGTATTCCAAAGTTTTGTATCATAATTTTCCATGGTAATAATTATTTACCTTCAAAATTTAAAATGATTTACATTTCTATTACGGTTCTCCTTTTTCATTCTCAAATCCTTTTGTAGTGATAATTAAATCATCAGGTGATCAAACCACTCACATTGTATCAAAATAGTTTACATAAGGAAAACATATTTTGCATGAAATTTAATCTATGAATAGTACACAAGTGTTTTCCTTATATTGTGTATTATTTCCTCTATTTTATTTTACTCAATAGTGTTTAAGAATTGAGAACATCTTGTTCCAGTGACTATCCTATCATTAACTTTACTTAGCTGAGGTATGACCCTCCTAATTAAGAAATTCTTTGCTCTGGATGGTGGCATATATTAAGTATATTTTGGAGATACTTTTTTTTTCTGTACTGAGAATGGAACCTCGAGGTACTTCAAACATACTGTGTGGGTTTTTTTTTTCTCTTTTTTTTTGAGACAGGGTCTCCTTACCTTGCCCAGGCTGCCTCAGACTTAAGATACTCCTGTTTATCCTCCCCAGTTGCAGGGGTTAAAGACTTTTTTGTTTTGTTTAGTTTTTGGTACTAGGGATTGAACTCAGGACCTTGTGCTTGTGGGGCAGGCAGCGGCACCACTGAGCTAAATCCCCCGCCCTAAAGACGTTTTTAATGATTAATTGGTATTGTTCATGAAAAAAATGATGTTTATATCTGAAGATGCCTAAACAACTCTTTGTAATTTAAGATAAGAAAAAACATACTCTTTCAAGGACTTATTCAAACTACTTGACTAATTATTCTTTTTTTTTTTTTTTGGTACCAGGGATTGAACTCTATGATTGATTATTCTTAATGTGACTAAAATCAAATCACTATTGTCTCTGTTATAAATGTATTACATATTTAATTACTTCATATTTGATTAAAGCTATTCTACATCTTGTTATATATTTGAATTATTTATATAATTTCATATATCATTTAACAATAATGCAATTGGTTCCATTGTTGAACAACAATATAAAAATAAACACCCTCATGTAGTTACCTCAAAATAAATGATATAAAAAATATTAAAACATAACTGTATAAAATGTAGCATAAAGGAAATATGTTACAAAAATGTTTTTTGACCAAAGATTATAGAACTTTTTATATTACTAGATGTTACCATCTTATGAGCTATTAATATGAAAATCACTGTTTTTATTATTGCTTTTTCCCTCTGAGAGTGTTTAAATAGTAGGTGATGTTCTTTAGATATGTCAGTTTTTCTTCTGATGTACTTGTCAAAACAAGGAGCTAACTTGGGACTGAGTGCATCCAAGCTGCCAGCACGTGCTATTTAGGATGTCATCATTTTACATTGTAACATCGCTGTGTGCTGAAAGCCAGCTGGTGCATTCAAGTTTCTTATTGGAGATTTTCATTTGATTTATTATTGTGATTTTGGTTTTGAACAGAAACAATCATTCATATGCATCAAGCACATTGAAGCTACTGGAGGCTTTCTCTTTTGCTGAGTAATTTGCGCTATCAATCTGCCAGTCTGGGGGAATTTCCAGCTTGGATTATTAGTGTTTGTTTCAGAAGGAAGTGATGCATCCCCCACACACACCTACTGAAATAAGAGAAATAGTTTTCAGTGGGCTAATGAGCAGTGGTGCTTCCCTCATGATGTTTTTGTGTAACATGGATCAGCACGATTATTGTATCCCAAATCTACATAATTCTCTTTTGTAACATAGCAAGAACCAGCAGCAATGACTTCTTTGCTTGCAAAGTAAATGTGAACTAGACCTTGTGCCTTGGTTGTATTCCTTTATTTTAAAGAGGTGGGCCTTTAATATTTTGATATGTTTCTTTTGTAGGAATAACCTGCCTGTAGTAATTTCACGTTCATTCTACTTTAGCCATATTCATGCTTTAATGATTGTGTTTAGTTGTAAGCAGAAAGTGCTGACATTTAACATGTTTCCAGAAAATATATGCAAACAAAATTTATTTCTTTATTTCATGATTTGAGTACTGATTGGATTATAGCAGTTACATTCTTTTTTTTTTTATTAAATTCTTTTATTGGTACATTGTAGGTATACAACACTATTACATTTCTCATTGGGAATTGTACCTTTACATGATGCATCTTGGTTCTTATTTTTTCCCCATTCCTAGCCCTCCTTTAATCCTCTCCACCCTTCCCTATTTACACAGACTTTGTTTCCATTTTTTCCATTTCTCATCATTTTTCCTTTCCCTTCTTTCCTTTCCCCTGCCCCTCCCACTACCCCTACCCCTTTGGACCTTTTCTTCCTATTTTGCATTATCAATTATTCATTCTAATCATTGGCACATTTTAGGTATACAATATAATGGCATTCATCATTGGAAATACATTCTTATATATTTCATGTTTGGGATTATATCAGACTGCACAAAGCCCTGCTTTGATGCCAAAGTGTACAATTCTAAAGTAATAAAAACAAAATTGTTAAAAGACTAATCCTTGAGATAA